AGTAGTAGTAGTAGTAGGAGTAGTAGTAGTAGTAGTAGTAGTAGTAGTATAGTAGTAGTAGTATAGTAGTAGTAGTAGTAGTAGTAGTAGTAGTAGTAGTAAAAGTAGTAGTAGTAGTAGCAATAGTAATAGTAGTAGTAGTAGTAGTAGTAGTAGTAGTAGTGGTAGTAGTAGTAGTAGTAGTAGGACTAGTAGGAGTAGTAGTAGTAGTAGTAGTAGTAGTAGGAGTAGTAGTAGTAGTAGTAGTAGTAGTAGTAGGTATGGTGATTTAGTAGGCGTGCTTCTGCTGCTCCTGCTCCTGCTGCTGCTGCTGCTCCCTCTACAACTGCTACTACTACTACTACTACTACTACTACTACTACTCCTGCTGCTGCTGCTACTACTACTACTACTACTACTACTACTACTACTACTACTTCTACTACTACCACCACTGCCAGGAGCAGCAGCATTCAGACCAGGAACCTGCATGACCTTTACAGGTAACTAGCAACCTTCCTGACCTTTGTCACGGCCAGGCATATTATATAGTCGCTCAGTACTGCTACCAAAGACATGGACAGTGGTCATGGCAACCCTGCATCACGCAAATGCAAGACTGACAGTCAGCCATTATGGCTGTTGACACTGCTATGGCTTGGTGACCCCATCTCGCATCAACTCGCGCAAAGCTTGTTCTTGTCGCTGCTGGGTGGTCACGAAAGTAGCGGGCTCACAATCTGATGCTTCATGAAACTAGCATACCTGGATCAGATGCACGCTTCAACGCGGAAAAGAGTATTGAGTCCAGCCGGTTCGAGGTGGGCCTTGATTGCTCATTGGAAACCAGCTCGTCATGTGTGCCCTGCTCTACCACGTGGCCCTTGTCCAACACCTTGGCAGTGTGTCGTGATCGCACGGCCTGCAATTCCCGCGTGAAACAACGGATGACTCAGTCGAAGGCGAGAATTCTCGTCGACCGCACTACAGTGGACAAGCGATGCCTGCTCTGCGTCCCCACAGCCCGCAAGACCCAATGACGACAGGCTGGTCTGAGCTTGCAGCGCAATGATGAAGGTGGTCTTGCCTTCGCATGCAGGGCGCGTGTGATCATGCTCCGGCCTCTCTCATGACTATAATCATGACTATAAAAACCAGACATCAGTGAATCAGCTGCCCCACGGAGACTGCACCGGTGCAGCTCCAAGGCCGAAAAGGCAGGGAGAGCGAAGACATGTGGGTAGTTTTCAATATGAGGGTCCCTTTTAGGGTCCTTTTTATAAGGGTGCCGCACTATATTGGGGACCTAAAAAGGGACCCGAATTTAGAGAACTACCCATGTAGCCTTGCCTCTCATCAGCTCATCGAGAGCTTGCTGTACAATGTGCTCATTCTCGCTGTCCAAGGCACTGGTCGCCTAGTCAAAACAGGAAGCAATGTCATGTAAACTTTTCTAAGCACGATGCAGCAACATCACTTAAAGTTCCCCGGGTCATCCGCCTCATCCAAGACGAGCATCTTGGGATTTCGGATGATTGCTCGCGCGATGGCCTCTGCGGCGGCGCATGGCCAGACTTCAACAAGCTGCTGAGGAGTTTGCAGAAACTGCACCGGAATCCCCGTCCCCGTCTTCGTCATCATCATCTTATCTTAGCTCGACAGATTGCCGACAGCCCTACGGCAGCTTTGATGATAGCAAGGATACAGTTGACAACACAAAAACATTCATAGCAATCACAGTAGCAAAAATATTCATGCTGGCAACAGTTAACCATGATAATCGTCATCATCGCCATCATCATCATCATGATAACGGTACCAAAATTAGCAGGAGCAGTAAGAATCAAGTTATACTATACTGGCAATGGATGCCTGACAAGTACTGGCCAGTACAATTCACCCCTTAATCCTATTCTAACCATCGAGACCCCTTACGTTGTAGAACCTTCATTATAGCTTCCTTATAGAACCCTTTCAAGAACCCTTCAGGGGAACCCTATTTTGACTAGTACAGTTAGGTCCCAAAAAAAGGTAAGTTCTGAGACGTCGACGACACGCTGCTTTTGCCCACCAGATATTCGAGCCGCGCGCTCTCCGGGATGGGTCCTCACCAGGGTTTTGGGGATTTAGGGTTTTGCCACGGTTTAGGGTTTCGGGTTTTGGGGTTTGGGGTTTAGGGTTTAGGGTTTTGGGTTTATGGGTTTTGGGGTGTGGGGTTCAGGAGTTTGAAGTTCAGGGATGTTGACCCTGAGAAACCCGGAAACGCGCAAAGGCTACCATACCCTTATCGTAAACTATCACAACCCTACAGCCCTCAAAAGTAACCCTATCATACCCCTCTAGAACCTCTAGCATAAACCTCTGATTCCCTGAACTCAAAGCCTATCACGTCCAGCCTTCTCCAAAACACCACGAGTCGATAAGGGTTCTAGGGCTTAGGGGTTTAATAGGGTTCTTATGAGGTTTCAGAAGGGTAGCAGTGATTCGAGTCGGACTCTGCGGTGCATTACCGGATTATAGTAAGCATCATTCACATCGTCGTGGAATCTTCATCTTCGCAGCGGCTCGCGCAGCGAAAGCAATCAAACAGCACGGCAAGAATGGACATGAACCTTAAGCCACAAACCCTGAACCCGGTTAAGGGATTGCGGGTTAAACTTAAACCCCAAATCTCTTAACCCTCAAACCCAGTATCCTAAACCCTAAACCCCTAAACCCTAAACCCTAAACCCTAAACCCTGAACCCAGTATCCTAAACCCTAAACCACAACCCTAAACCGGCCATCGAAAAGCCAAGGCTGCAGCTCGTATCCGCTTTGCAGGTCCGCGATGAACTTGTGAGCGTTAGCCCGGCGAGCAGCTGCCTGCCCAAAGAAAGGCGGGCTGAAGGCTCAGCCAGAAAGGGGGATTAGGTTTAGGATTTAGGGTTTAGGGTTTAGGGTTTAGGGTTTAGGGTAGTGTTCAAGGTTTGCTTGGAGGCCCAGGGACTTAGTAAGTCGGTTATAAGTAGGGTCATAATTGGGGTAACTCCATTTAGGGTACTTGTAACCCTACTTATAACCTACTGACTAAGTCCCCTGGACTCCAAGTAAGGACTAGAGGATGAAGTTTTAGGGCGTGGGATTTTGGGACTCGGGAATTAAGGTTTAGGGCTTGGGGTCCAAACTGTGAAGCCCTTACCCGTTCAGGTTCATGTCCAGTTGTTTCAAGCTGCAGGTCTAACTTTGGTCATGGATGAGAGTGTAGTAGGGCATTGCTCTCAGAATCTGCTGGACAATTTTCATCATCACGTGAGGTTCTTGGACGCTAAGTTCAGGTCAGCAGCAAAGGCAAGTGGCTGCAGCATCACCATCACAAGACTGCTCATGATCATCGCCATCATCAGTTGTTGGGCAGAGCAAAAACCTGGTCACAGCATCTGCGCAGTACCCGGCCTCGATCTCTTCCCTAGGTGCACCTTTGGCACTTCCGTAGGCGATGTTGTCGCTCAACTTCCTGGACAAAAGCCACTCATGATCGTTTGAGCATTCTGAAGCACGGCCAGCTCTGCCGCCTGTCGAAGAGAACGGGCTCTTGCTCTACGAAGCCGATCTGCGAACGGAGCCAGCGGATGTTGTAGCTCCTCCGTGGGTGCAGCATCGCGGTCTGAAAGAAGGAGGCTACCTAAACCGTAAACCCTGTTCCTGTAGTCTAAGCCGTCCAACGTGATCGATCCGGCGCCTGGATCCTCGATGCTGAAATTTCAAGAGGCATGTCATTCTCACGCAAGTCTCGACTAATCACCGGCTTGCTTCTCAACATAGCAGTGGCAATAATAGGGGTAGTAGCAACCCCAACCCCTGATCCTAAACCCGCCCGCAACTCCAAAGTCTTTCTGGTAAGTGCGAACAATGTAGTCTGAGGCCGATGCATAGTATCGCAAAAGGAGACGGCCAAGAGTTGTCCTCGCATCTGGGACAGGTTCTGCTATGTTCTGAGTATATTCCTGTTTGATGCCATGCCGCTGACTCCATCTGCTACGCCAAGGGTGATGGTTTTTTCCGGCGTCAGGTTCAACACATGGAGCGGCATTAGCAAGCACTGGCGCCGGATCTATCGAGAACAGGTCAGGATTATCAGGCGCAAGGCGGGTGGCTTTTCAGGCACATGGAAAAGTAATTACTAAAAAACGTGCAACGGGATTCCTTAAACCCTATACCCTAAACCTTAACAAAACCTGCACATGTTAATAATAATTCCCACGCATGTCTTTCATAATTCACGCGCATCGCTTTGATAAATCGCGCGCTTGTCTCTCATAAAACTGGCCTTTATTCCCGAACCATGGCGCAATGAAAACTCAATAAATTTACGGAAAAGACAGCTCACGCTACGTACATCAACATGTATATTATACACATAGTATGCTTTAAGTTGTCACATGTGTCTCTATTTGGCTACTGTACTCCTTGCCCATTTACTTGCTCATCTCCCTTATGCGCCCATGTCTGCACATGAGTATGTAACCAATCCATGTGGCACATGAACGATTACATGTTGTTTGTCTGGGGTCCGAGCTTACCCGCACCGCTCTCACCGATTAAGGCAACGATATCCTCGCAGGCAAACATACGCAGCGCGAAATGCACGCTGCTTCCCGAAATCACGGCGGGGAGGCCCCAGGATTGGCTTCAAGTCGAACCTTTGTCAACACCTGCCAATTCGATTCCGGCGCTTTCTGAGAAGTCTTCTGTCTGGTGCTTAGTAGGGAATGGGGGAATGGATCCCTATGATATTCCCTTAAGGTCCCTTATAGTAGTCCCTATAACCCATTCTGATAGTCCCTTAAGGTCCCTTATAGTAGTCCCTATAACCCATTCCCTAGATATTATAGTAGTCCCTATAATCCATTCCCCCCATTCCCTATCAAGCACGAGAGAAGGATGGGAGAAGCCTGGAGGTCTGCACGGCCGGAGTAGGCAAAAGAGACGTCCTGCCACAGGAGAGCTTTGGAGGCTCGAATGAACAACATAGTATAATAGAATATCATGATAGTAATAATAATCATAATAATAATCATAACAATAATCATAATAATAATCAACATAATCATCATCATAATAATAATCATAATAATAATCAT